GAATTCAAATTAGCTGTTTTAAGGAAGCTCAATGAACTTCAATAAAATACAGAGAAACAGTTCAATGAAATGAGGAAAACAATAAATGATAAGAATGAAAAATTTAACTGAGATATTGAAGTAATAATAATAAAATCAAACAGAATTCTGGAACTGAATAATAAGTGAACAAAATGAAAAAATGCAATAGAGAGCATCAACAGTAGAATTGCTAAAGCAGAAGAAAGAATTTATAAACTTGAACAGAGGTTATTTGAAAATATACAGTCAGAGGAGAAAAAAGAATGAAAAAGAATGAAGAAAGCTTATGAGATATATAGGATAGCATCAAAAGAACAAATATTAAAGAAAGAATCGAGAAGATAAAGGGGTAAGAAATCTTATTTAAAGAAATAATAGCAGAAAACTTTCCCAACCTGGAGAAAGATAGAAATATCCAGGAACAGAAAGGTCAAAGGTCTCTAATCAATTCAATCCAAATAAGATTGAATAAGACTACCCCAAGACATATTATAATCAAACTGTCAAAGATCAAAGACAAAGAGAGGATGCTTAAAGCAGCAAGAGAAAAGAAGCAAATAACATAAGAAAGTTCCAATATGCCCACCAGCAGACTTCTCAGCAGAAGTTCACAGACCAGGACAGAATAGAACAATATATTTAAAGTGCTAAAGAGAAAACATTGCCAATCAAGAATATTGTACTCAGCAAAGCTATGCTTCAGAGATGAAGTAGAGATAAAGACTTTCACAGACAAACAAAAGCAGACAGATTTCATCACCACTAGACCTGTCTTACAAGAAATGCTATTTTTAGCTCTGTGAGGTATCTCCAAATTCTTTTCCACAGAAGTTGCTCTAATTTGCAGTCCCACCAGCAGTGTAAGAGTGTTCCTGTCTCTCCACATCCTCGCCAACATTTGTTGTTTTGTGTTTTTTTGATAGAGGCCAATCTCACCGGGGTTAGGTGATACCTCATTGTGGTTTTGATTTGCATTTCTCTAATGATTAGAGATGTTGAGCATTTTTTTATATGTTTGCTGGCCATTATTCTGTCTTCTTTTGAAAAGTTTCTGTTCATTTCCCTTGCCCATTTGTTGATGGGGTTGTTTGATTTTTTCTTGTTGATTTTTTTGAGTTCTAGATAGATTCTGGTTATCAGCCCTTTATCAGATGTGTAGAGAGCAAATATTTTTTCCTATTCTTTGAGCTGTCTATTCACTCTAATAGTAGTTTCCTTGGTAGTGCAGAAGCTTTTTAATTTGATTAGATTCCACTTATTTATTTTTGTTGCTGCAGTGATTGCTTTGGGGTTCTTCTTCAAGAATTCCTTGCCTAGGCCGATGTCTGAAAGGGTCTTCCCAACATCTTCATTTAGAATTCTTAAGGTTTCGTGCCTTAGGTTTAAGTCTGTTATCCATCTTGAATTGATTTTTGTAAGAGGTGAGAGGTGGGGGTCCAGTTTCAACCTTCTGCATGTAGCTATCCAGTTTTCCCAGCACCATTTATTGAAAAGAGATTCTTCTCCCCAGTGTATGTTTTTGTCAGCTTTGTCAAAGATTAGATTACCATATGCAGATGGTTTCATATCTGGATTCTCAGTTCTGTTCCAGAGGTCAACACTAGGGTGATCACATGGCAGAAATACTCTCGAGGGATTAGGGGGGTGGGGGGGTAAATCTGCAACTAAAGGACACGGGGAGCACTGTAGAGGGGGAAGGGCATGCCTTTAACCCGCACTTGGGTTAGGCAAAGACATAAAGTGTAACCCTAATGTTTGTACCCTCACAATACCCTGAAATAAAAAAAAGAAAAAAATTAAAAAAATTAAAAAAAAAAGAAATGCTAAAAGGAGTTCTTCAAGCTGAAAGAAAAGGACACTAATGAGTAACACAAAACATCCGAAAGTATAAAAATAACTGGTAAAAATAAGTAAAAAGTCAAATTCGAAATACTCTACCACTGTAATTATGGTGTATAAATCACTTATATCTTTAGTATGAAGGTTAAAAGACAAAACTATTACTAATAATAACTACAATAGTTTGTTAAAAGATATGCAATAGAAAAAGATATAAATTGTGACATCAAAAATTCAAAATGAGGAGATGGAATTAAGTTTAGAGGGTTTTCTTTGTGATCAAAGTTAAGTTGTTATCAACTTAAAATAACTTCTCATATTTTTTGTAAGCCTTGTGGTAACCACAAAGCAAAAACTTATAATAGGTACACTAAAAATTAAAAGAAAGAAGGTAAAACACATTACTAGAGAAAAATCAATTAATCACAAAGAAAGAAAAGAAGAAAGGATCTAAAAAACAACTCAAAAACAATTAAGAAAATGGTAGTAGCAAGTCCTTACCTATCAATAATTATTTTGAATGTAAACAGATTAAATTCTTCAATCAAAAGACATAGAGTAGGTGAATAAATTAAAAAACAAGATATATGTATATGCTGCATACAAGAGACTTGCTTCACCTGTAAGGACATACAGTTTGAAAGTGAAGAGGTAGAAATAATATTCCATGCAAAGAGAAACCAAAAGATAGCAGGAATAACTATACTTATATCAAATAAAATAGACTTTAAGTCAAATACGGTAAAAAGAGACAAATAAGTTCAATACATAATAATAAAGTAGTCAATTCAGCAAGAGGATATAACAATTATAAATATGTATGTACCTGACCTAATTAATAATTAAGCAAATTCAATGTAATCCCTATTAAAATACCAATAACATTCTTCACAGAAATAGAAAAAACAATCCTAAAATTTGTATGAAACCACAAAAAACCCAAAGTAGCCAAAGCAATCTTGAGCAAAAAGAACAAAGCCAGAGGCATAATACCACCTGACTTCAAAATATTTGACAAAGCTATACTAACCAAAACAGCATGGCAGTTTTCAGACACATAGATCAACGGAACAGAATAGAGAGCCCAGAAGTAAACTCACACATTTATAGACCAGTGATTTTCAACAAAGGTGCCAAGAACACACAATGAGGAAAAGACAATCTCTCTTCAATAAAAGGTGTTGAGGAAACTATATCCCCATGCAGAAGAATGAAATTAGACCCTTACCTCTCTCCATATACAAAAATCAACTCAAAATGGATTAAAGACTTAAAGGTAATAATCGAAGATATGAAAATACTAGAATAAAACAGGGCAAAGCTCTGTGACATTGGTCTGGGCTATGCTTTTTTTAATATGATCTCAAAAACACAGGTAACAAAAGCAAAAATAAATAAATGGGATTATATAGAACTAAAAATCTTCTGCAAAGTAAAGGAAAAAATCAACAGAGTAAACAGACAACCTACAGAATGGGAGAAAATATTTGCAAAGTATACATCTGATAAGGGGTAAAAATCCAAAATATATAAGGAACTCAAACAACTCAATAGCAAAAAACCAAATAACCTGATTTAAAAATGGGCAAAAGTCCTGAATAGACATTTCTCAAAAGAAAACATACAAATGGACAACAGGTATACGAAAAAATGCTCAAAATCACTAATCATTAGGGAAACGCAAATCAAAACCACCATGAGATATCGTCTTACTCCTATTAGAATGGCTATTATCAAAAAGATAAGGGTTGGAGAAAAGGGAACCTGTACACAATGTTGGTAGGAATGTAAATTTGTATAGTCATTATGGAAAAAAGTATAGAGTGTCCTCAAAAAACTACTATTAGAACTACCATATGATCCAACAATCCCGCTACTGGGTATATATCCAAAGGAAATGAAATCAGTATGTCGAAGAGATATCTGCATTCTCATGTTTATTGCAGCACTATTCACAATAGCCAACATATGAAATCAACCTAAGTGTCCATCCAGAGATTAATGGATAAAGAAAATGTAGTATACATACACAATGAAATACTATTCAGCCATAAAAAAGACAGAAATCCTGGCATTTGCAACCACATGAATAAACCTGGAGGGCATTACATTAAGTGAAATAAGCCAGGCACAGAAACACAAATACCACATAATCTCACTCACTCATGTTGTGGAATCTAATAAAGTAGCCTTTGTAGAAGTAGAGAGCAGAATGGTGCTTACCAGAAGCTGAGGTGGATGGAGGGGAAAGAGGGTTGGAAAGATGTTGGTCAAAGGATACATAATTACAGTTAGGAGAAATACATTCAAGAGATCTATTTACAGCACGGTCATCATAGTTAATGATGATATGTTATATTCTTGAAAAATGCAAAAAGAGTGGATGCTAAGTGTTTTCACCACAAAAATGATAACTATATGAAGTAATGAATTTGTTAATTAGCTAGATTTAACCATTCCACAATGTATGTTCTTTAAAACATCATGTTGTACATGATAAATACATATAATTTTATCTGTCAATTTAAAAAATAAAAAAGAAAGGGTAAAAATAAGCATTATTAATTCTTAATATGTGGTTTGACAATTATGCATGTATATGATATATACATACCGGGGGTGCATGCACAGGCATTTTCTTTTTCTTTTTTTTTTTTTTTTTTGA